TCTATGAGGCTCCACAGATCCACTCTTAACTGGACTTTTTGTGCTGATGAAGATGGAAGCTGTTTTATATTTATAGACCACTATATTTACAGAGTACTGTGGTCTACAACAAAACCTACCTGTAAAAGTTTAGGAAACAAATAAGTTACAGAAAGATATACAATGTTCATAAATTAGAAAACAAAGTATTTTTAAATGATTCTCTCTCTAAATGTATCTATAGATTCAATATCATTCAATCAAAATTGTAGCAAGCCTTTTTGAAAAAAAACATATAAGTTTTATGGGCACAGACTGCCAAATACTGCTTGAAACAAAGTAGCAAAGTGAGAGGACTCATGACCATGATGGCAAACATCACCAGAGATTTGTAATGCGACATTGACATAAAAGCCGACAGATCAGCAGAACCAGATGAAGAATCTATAATTCATCCTACATACAAGTGACAGTTTGAATGTTTAGTTATCAGAGAGCACTGCTTGAGATGTAGTAGGAAGTCTTCTTGGAGTAGGTGTGCCCTTATGGGATGAGCTTTGATGTTTCAAAAGTCCAAGCCAGGCCTTATGTCTTTCTCTTTCTCTGCCCACGAATCAGGATATACCTCCCAACTTCTTCTCCAACACCTTGTGTAGCACCATGCTCCATGCCATGATGATAATGGACTAAACCTCTGAAACAGTAAGCAAGTGCCCAGTTAAATGCTTTCTTTTATAAGAGTTGTCTTGGTCATAGTGTCTTTTCACATCAATAGAACAGTGACCAAGATAGGAGTTGGTACCAGGAATGGGGTATTGCTGTGATAGGTCTGACTGTATTGCTTGTTGGCAGAATGTAGACTTTGGGCCTTTGAGTTAGAAGAGCAGTTGAATGCTTTAAACAGAGCTTAATGAGCCATAACAGTAGGAGCACGGAAGACAGTGATGCTTAGAGCAATGTAGATTATATCAGCCCTGTTTAAAAGGTTTCAGAGGGTAAGAATATTAGTAAGTGGCCTAGACTTTATTCTTGTCGTATTTTAGCAAAGAATGTGGCTGTTTTCTGTGCTTGTTCCAAGAAAACAAAAATCTGAAAATCTGGAAAAAAAAAAAAGAAAATGGCTAAATTGACGAGTTTCAGATTAATAGTCTTGGAAGAAGAGATTTCAAGAAATCCTAGTATTGATTGTGTCATGTGGTTATTAGTTTCTACTCAAGCAGATCTATAACAAAAGGGAGCAATCTAAGCAAGGAAAAACACAAAATGTACAGTGTAAGAAGAAAAGGGCCACCAGGAAGTATAATAGAGCTAAAGCTCACACAGATTAAATAGTTTAAAGAAAAGCCTGATGCTAAGTGGAATAAAGGGAGAGGTGACCTCAGGGCAAGACCCCACCCAGCTGAGCTCCCAGTTTATGAAAAGGAATTAAAGAAAAACTTGAGCAGCAAAGGAAATCATCAACAGCAGAAAGCTGACACAGACGCAAGTGAAAGAGGGGACCATGTTCCAACACCATCAGGAAGCAGAACTCGGCAGCTTCAGCCATGTAGTTCTGGTTTTAGAGCAAGAATACAAAAAAGTAGTGTGTTGTAGACTCTCTCACTATGGCTAAGGAAAGCTGCTGAGGCCATTCAAGTGTCAAGGATATCCCTGCTTGGAAGCCCGGAGAGGCCATAGTATGAAGCTGTGAAGTTTGTGAAGCCTGGATTGCTGTGGATACCCCAAGATGTTGGAGATGCCAGAGTCATGGGATACCCACCATGAAATGTTACAGATTGGGTATGAAATCAGCCTTAAAGTAAGATGTGGGCTGCAGTCAGTAGAGATGAAAGGAAGAGCCTGTTGACATCAGACAAGGAGATGCAGAGTCTGGAGTCTGCCCTGCTGGTTTTCAGTCTTGCTTTGGTCCAGCATTTCCTCACTCTGCTCCCTTTCCTCTCTTTTGGAAAGGGAATGTATATTTCCTGCCATTGTATGTTGAAGATATGTGGTCTGCTTTTTTGTTCTGATTTACTGGGGGATACAGTTAAGAGATTGCATGAGACTCAGAAAAGACTTTGAACTTTGGACTTTTAAACAGCATTGAGACTTACAGACTGTGGGAACTTTGGAAATTAGACTGGTTGCATTTTTGTATTATGATATGACCATAAGCCTAAGGGAATCAGGAACTGGAATGTAATAGTTTGGATAATAATGGTCCCATAGGTTCATAGATTTGAATTCTTAGGGCGTGGCACTACTTGAGAAGAAAGAGGAGATGTGGCTTGTTGGGAGAAGTGTGTCACTGAGGGTGGACCTCAAGGTTTCATAAGCCCAAACCAGATTCAGCGTCTCTCTCTTCCTTTGCCTGTGGACCAGCATATAGGTCCCAGCTACTTTGCCAATACCATGTGTGCCACCATGATCCTCAAATGATCATCATAGACTATGCCTCTGAAACTCTAAGCCAGCCCCAATTAAATATCTTTGCAGCAATAGAACAGTGACCAAGACAACAGCACATGTGATCATTCGATTAAAGCTTCCATAGACAAGACAGTCTTCCTAACAATCTCTCTCTCTCTCTCTCTCTCTCTCTCTCTCTCTCTCTCTCTCTGTGTGTGTGTGTGTGTGTGTGTGTGTGTGTGTGTGTTAAGAACTTCAAGTCCACTTCTCATACAACAATTGATTAAACAGAGCATAATATATTTTATTACATATTTATAGCATATTTACATTAATATGCTAAATATAAAAATTATAATCAGTTAACTTTGAAAAGAGAACATTGAATTTTAAGACAGACAAAGATCTTTTAGGTGGGATATGAAAACCATTAACCAATAAAGAATACATTGGTGTGCTACAGCTCATCTTAAGCAAACTCTGTTTCCTAAAGGTGACTACGGCAATCCATGTGCTTTTTCAAAAGTTTACTAGACCACTACTCAGAAGTCTGTCCTACCACCCATTCTCCAGAGCCAAGGAGAGTTTGCAACTTCTCTGGTCCAGTAATGAAGTGTGTTACTGTGTAACTACTGCAGCCAAGTCAGAGAAGGGACACAGGTGTCACTTGACTCCCTCTGTCTCTTTTTTGGAACATATTCACCCTGTGAGCCCAGCCACATGAAAAGGCCATAGTGAGGATTATGGTGAATCTGTCCTGCTACAGTCTAAACTGACAATAGCTATTGCTGGACGTGTGAGTGACAAGGTAACAAGCTTTTTGATGACTTTAGTCGCTATTCTTTGACACTAAAGAGAGCAGAGTTAGGCCATAAGCTCTTCCTACAGAGGACCATAAAAGTTGATTCACAAGCCAAATAAATATTTAAGCCACAGAAGATAAAAGAAAGTTTGTTTTAGAAGCACATTAACTGTAACATTATCAAAATAGAAAATAGTTCTAGGCATCCAAAGATACTATTAGGTAATTAAACTGGCAATCCACAGACTGTGGGAAAAGTATTTACAATAAACATCGCTGATGATGGACATGCATCCAGCATAGGTATCAAGTGCCTACACCACCAAAAATGTGAAAACCTACAACTCTATTTTAAAAGTAGGAGAAGGACTTAAAAAGACACTTTCAGAATAATCCATAGCAAGGATCAGTTAAATATGAAAATCAACTCAACAGCAGAGTATTTTCATAACTAATTTAAAGGGACTCCTTATATTTGGACAAATGTGTACTGTCTGACCTAGAGTCCACAATTTAAGTGACTTCAGGGAGAATTGCTGGATCTCTCTGCCCGTCAGTTTCTCATCTGAATATATTTAGTTATTGGCAGCACCCCTCACAGGCTAGATGAGGACTAAAACTCATACACATGACTAACAGTCCAGGATACAGAGCATGTGCTCAATAAAAATTAGAACTATTTGACAGAAACTGTGAGATACATCAAGAGCAAAAGGTGAAAGGACTAAATTCTGCTTCCAAGACTATTCTCACACAATTAGTGTATCCTGTAAGTCTGTGGGCCCCTGTCTCTGGAACTTTCAAGTAAGGCTGTACTAAAGCTGAGCTTAGTAATTTTGTACTCCACCACCCAAACCAGGCACCTTCCCCTTCATCCTAACAGGAACTGTCCCAGAAAGAGAATGTTTGTTCCACCAGCCATGAAGTCTACATGACAGTAAAACAACAAAGGCCATCAGAGCTGCTACCTCCTGCCAGAGGCACAGAGAAGACAGGAACCTCTAAGGAAACACCTGCAGAGTAAGTAGAGTCTGAGCTAAGGATGTGGAGGAGGTCTCCTGGCCTGGCCCTGCTCCAGGCAACCTTACCCCCCCCACACACACACACACACGCTAAACAGAGCAGGTAGAGCCATCTTCTCAATGCACAGTGTCCACACTGCACCCACATTCAAAGTCCTTTCTAGTGCCAACATCAGCCTCACTAGCTTCCCTCCACCAGGAGTGCCTCCAGATTCTTCTGAGTCCTGTGGGTCCGGCTCATTTTCTACAGCTTCCAGGAAGCCACTCTAAGGGGCACCTAGGGGCAGTAGGGAGATTATGCGTACAGCATTCTCAAGTCGACTACCTACGTCAAATGCACATCCAAGAGGCTTCATTATTCTCTATTTTCTATTGAATTATAAAAGAAGTACCCTAGACTAATATCTCACACAGATTTCCACACTATCATTCTACCATGCTGCCCTGATCACCAGCCAACCCAGGCAATTCCCCACACTCAGGTCTGGGTCTTCACGCATATCCTCTCTGTCTGTTAACCCTGTCCTCCTAGACTCAGAATGTAACCCATCCTAATAAAAGATTTCAAATGCTGTCTTAGCTCCTCCACTTACCTAATTCCCGGCCCCTGTTTTGCCATGGAACTCAGAGTTTCCTTGGTGTTATAAGATACACTCGGAGGCTGTTGAAGTCAGAGACTGTTCTTCCTACACATTGCAACTCCTAGATCAGCACTGTCTGTACACAACATGTAATCTAGGAGTTGCCAAGTGTAGGACATTGGAAGATCATGGCCATCACTGAAGAGGGAGTAAAACAAAATGACTTACAGGCCCTTCCTACTCCAGCCCTCAAGGAGCCTGGAAGGTTGGAGATGTTTCTTCAAGCTCCACATTTCTTGAATTCTTTCAGCATTTAGTGGTCCAGCTTTCTTTAAAAAAAAAAAAAGTTTATACTCAATGTTTTGCAAAAGCAATGTATTCACACGATTCAAAATAATCTTGTCATTGAATAATACAAAGGACAAAGTCACACCCCACCCACTCCCATAGCTGTCGACACTGTGTAGCCTTCCAAATTTCCCTTATGCAAGTATGAATTGTCACCGTGTTTTAGTTCCTAAAAGTAGTTTCTGGTGTGTTGTCTTGCCTGTTGATGGTCAGTAGCAGTGAAGTTGCTATGTGAGCGTGAACTTCAAAGCTCCTTTCTGCCCTAATAGGACTGGTTTAAAAAACGCTTAAATCCGTGTTTCTTGCTTGGCTGCTCTTCCACAACTTTCTCTGGCCTGCCTGGAGCAGAACTGCTCTAACGTTTAAGGAGAGGCCTATACTCTCACTTCCTCAGACACACTTTTAAAGAAAAACCTGAGTCTCCAGGGCATCCTCTAAGTTGCCACTTGTGGTATGCCACGTGCCTGCCTCTCAGCGCCTTCATCTGCCGAGAGAGAAGTCAAGGGACTTGGGGTCAGCTGCAGCTGTGTCCCCAACACATGTTGTTGTCCATGCAACAAGTCTTCTGTCACCTCTGTGCCTAGTTCTTTCCTCTATAAAATAAAGATATGGCCCACGTGATTTTCAAGGACCTATATAGCCAGTGCTCTCAGGCTCTCTTGCTCTGGCTGGTCAATGCCAGGCATTGTGAGCATGAGAGAGTCCATGAGTGTCCAGCACTATCCCGAGACTGTTTACTAGACTGCTAAGCCACTGCTGCACCCACAGGAGGAGTGTATCATATATCAAGGTAAAGGATGGTTTTCCTGGGGCTCTCCGCAGACTGGCTACTCAGTGCAACTCTTTCCCTAAAGTCAAAGAGACTTGGATAGGCTCCATGACTCTCAAGGTACAGACCCCAGGAGACCCAGGGATGCATGTGGGGAGGCCAGGCTGTGCTTCCATTTAATCTTCAAGACCAGCCACTGTTCCCATACCCTTATAGCAGGTGACACCAGTGCGAGGAACTGTGTGGCCTCTGGCAACCTCTGCTGGAGAAGTTCTGTCAATTCCTCCCTGCCCCTCTTCCTCCATTATGCCTCTGCCTGTGGTGAAGGACCTCTTTACCATGTGCTCCACCTCTTGCCTGCAGAGTCCAGAAAGGAAATGTCACTCATGCTGGGTACACAGCTACCTGAAGGGCACTGCGCTTCAAGGACAGCCAGGCTCATAAAAAGACAACCTGGGCTTGATTCCTCCTTCAGGAGGCCTCATACACACACCCGCAGTAAGACATGTCCTTTGCCACTCCTGTCAGAGGTCACAGCCTACACACAGCTCACCTGACCTCCTGTTCCAGCAGAATCCTTGGTTGGTGGATAAGTTCTCTGTATAGGTGCTGAAGGCTATCTAGCTGGCTCCAAACTAGACCACTGTAAGCTGAATGAGCAGTAGGGAGAGAGAAGCTACAGCCTTGTTCTCAGTAGACCAACATTCAACTTAGAGTGGAGAATCAGACCTAGATTCAGACCCAAACCTGCTGGTACCACCACCTCTTCCCTGTTGGGTAGAGACCATCAGGAGGTGAATTACTGACTTCCTCTGTGAGTCAGACCCCAGTTCTCTCTGCTGCTCTAAATTCTCTCTCTACTCGGAAAAGCATCTCTAGGCTGTCTCTTTCAGGAAGTCTTCCCCACTGAGGTCCCCATGTTCCAAACAGCTTGACAAATTTCCTTCAGGGGACACCAAAGAACAAGGCACTCTGGGCTGCTCTCTGGAACATACTTGTGCTCATTGCATATAACCAAAGGCTGGGGTCTCCAGGAGGACACAATGTTCTGCTTCCCTCATTGTCCCCAAAGCCTCTTGTCTGATGCACACACAAAAGGCCTGCAACAGTAACCAGCTGATCCAGTGTCTCAGTTCCTGCTGAGGAGGGTTTATCACACAGTCACAGAAGCATGGGTCCTGTCCCAGCACCCAGACCATTCAGGAGGGAGAGGAATGAACTGTTGACAAGGCTTGAGGATCTGGGGACAGGCTTGAGCTACATTTTGTTAGCCTCTTTACTGTCTCATAGTTCTGCACACATATTAAGTCCCACCTTGCATTCCCTTTGTTCACACACGCATACAAGCACACACACACACACACACACACACACACACAGAGGATGTCTTACCTTCCCCCCACCTTGCACCTGGAAGACTGTTACCACTCAGCTCCTCCTCCATGGGCACATTAGGACATTTATGGACCTTAGAGACATAAGTAAAACTCCTGCCCCATCAACCGCACACCACAGCTAGCACTGTCTCCCCTAAGGATCATGTACGAGCCCCTCCCCCACACCAGGCTGTTGGGAGAGAGGCCAGAGCAAGTCAATCCAGAAATATGGAAGCTGTAGCAGCAGCAACAACAAAAATCCAACATTGCATCCCCAGGTCTGGCCAAAGCCCTTCCTACCACTTACAAAGACCCTACCATTTCCAGTCCGTTCCGGTCAATAAGTATCTGGGGAAACCCTTAATGCTTGATTTCTTTTGCTTCATGATTTGTGGCCAAGGGGCTCAGGATCCTTAAGTCCAAAAGGGTGTTTCTGCTCATTAGGCAAGATGTCAGGCCCAGGCAGAGAGGCTTTCTCCAGCCCACCCTGCAAAGCCCCAGCCTCAGGCTGAGGAAACCTTCAAGGCCAGAGCTAAGAGTCTCATGGTGACAGTCACTCAGCCGCGTTCCACACGTGTGCTATTGCTGAGTAGTAGTTAAGCTTGTAAATCCGTTATTTACGATGCGGGATTGCATGCATGCGCAGTGTGGTGCGGGCACATTAACAGCACTGTGAGAAACTTAACTCTGAATAGCCTTGCTTTGGAGTGGGCATAGTTCTACCACCGCTGTGTCACCAGGCAATTCTTACCGTTAGTTCCTTCGAAGTGGGTGCTTATATTTAAACTCAGAACTTCCCCTGCCTGGTTATACCACACAAATTATAAATGGTTCAGTCATTTGCATCTGAGTTCTGGGCTCCTACTGTAGATAGCCCTCACTTCCTTCATATAGCACTGAGCTCAAGACTCCAGTCTTGCTCAAGACTGAACCTAGGGACCTGTGGACATTGCAGAGCAGAAAGTCCTTTGGTTGTAGCAGAGAGAAGATGGCAGGGGCACTCCAGTGGCACAGCCCTGGGCTGGACACTAGAGTCTTAGAATTCTGTGGTGGGGCACCCAAGGGCTTCCTCTACACTGAGTTGAGCACAACCATACCTGCCAGCATCAGCCTCAGCCAGAGAGGAAGGCATCTCAGAATGACTACTGTCAAAACACTAGTGTCAAAACACCTCCATGCCATGAGCCTTGTCCTCTGTGACAGCTTTGGTAGGTAATTCACCATCGTGAGGTATCATAGGACCATGGAGTTCCTGACCCAGCCCTGCAGATTCCTGTCCTGGCAGAGTAGGGCACATTCCAAGTGATGCTTTTTATTTAAAATGTTGATTAACTACATTCCTTCACTTTCCTTTTATTTATTTTGTTACTTCATCTTCTTTTATCGACTTTGTGGAACCAAGGATTGAGCCACAGGCCTCCCACATGCAGGTGCTCTGTCACACAGCTGCAGCTCAGCCGGCAGCTCAGTCCATAGCTTACTTTTTAGAGCGAGTATCTCACACAGTTGTGCAGGCTTCGCCTTGAACTCTGTAGATCAGGCAGGCCTTGAATGTGCCATCTTCCTGCCTCAGCCCATCAAAATAATTTAACATATATCATATTGTATTTCTTTTCCTTCTCTTCCTCTGCCCTTCTGGCCACGGCCTGCCTTACTACTTCTTAGTGTATATTTGTCACAGCAACAGTCCCACTAGCTCACTGGCTCTACCCTACCTCACTCCCCAAACCTTGCCCTTCCTGACTCCTTTCCTCAACAGACCCCTCACAAGTCCTCCCATCCTTCCACGCCTATTCACTGCAGCCTCCCCCAGTGAGGCTCCCCTCTCCCTTCACCTCTGCTGGGCTCCCAGATTGCACAGTTCCCTAGCAACTGTGAACCATCTTGCTTGTCCAACCTTGCAGACCTCCTGGAGGCCATCTCTCCTAAGACAGGCAAGCATTCACAAACTCCACAAATCCTTGCCCCCTTTTGGAGAAAAGGACTTCTGTTGCAATTCAATTTTTAAACTCATTTGGCCTCTACTTTATAACCCTACTGGTAGCCATCTAGTGTGCAGAAACAGCACTTCATTTCCACAGTGTGGCATCTGCATAAGAGAGCCAGCTCATACATGGAAAGGTTTAGAACGAGCTCCTATACGTGATAAGCACAGTTTTGAGATCATGGGAAGCTGTCACTGCTGCTACTCCTGTAGTTAGATTATGCATTGCAGGATTGTTTATGGAAGTCTGGAGACAGACCCAATGGCTAGAGTTAGGGGAATGATTTCAATGGTGAGTATCAGTATGATTTCTATGAAGACTTAAAAAATAATAAAGTGTGTTTGTGTTTGCCAGTCTCAATAAATGATATCATAATTCAGGTTTTGAGAAGCAAACTGTGGCCAGGCATGGCTGCCTACATCCGAAATTTTAGCACTTGGGAGCCTGAAGCAAGCGTGGAATGATTTTCACCTTTTTAATGACTAGATCTACACTCGTGTATATATACTGTAACAAACCATTTGTGGCACGGAGGTAGAGTTATATGTAGCAGATTTGAGACGCGGGAAGCTTCTGTAGGACCCTTCCCTCAGGTTCCTGTATGATTTCAAAGAAGTCACTTCTCAATATCTCATTGTCCCCAAGTGTCAAATTAAGACTGCAACCACACCACCTGCCGGGGCTGGAATACAGGCTAAAGGACTTTGTAGGGCATATGTCAAACACAATGGTGGATATGCCAACAGGAGTTCAAAGCTGCTTATTTGCAATATTAGTATCTGCCAGGGACACAAGGCTAAAAGAAAGTAAACCAAGATGTAGATGGGTTCTTCTGGGGAAAGGAATCAGGGGG